ATATATATATATATATATATATATATATATATATATTAAGGTAGAAAAGTAATTATGCATTTTTGAGTTTTGATTTTAAGTTTTATTTTTTTTATAAAACTTAGATTATAATCTTATGATACTGTGTATTATGTATAGTGTAATAAAAATCCTCTTTAATTAAAGATTAAACATTTTGAACATAAGATTAGCATTTGTAGGTAGTTTAATAATAATAATAATAATAATAATTTGTTAGAAATATGATTCAACAAATAAACTTCCTTGTTAAAATGTATTCTATTATTATTTTTAAAAAAGTAAATAAATCAATCCCATGGTTATGAACATAATAAATCCAATCCAACACTTATATCAAATGCATGATAAAATTATAGTATAGTATTGTTCTAATCAAGAGAATAATGGAGACCCTAAGATAAAACATTTATCGGGTTATGTTTTGTTCCCCTTATGTAATTTAACGTGTAGGAATTTTGATATGAATAGTTCTTGTTTATGGTCTATATTTAATATATTACTAATAAAGAGTTATGTAAAGGTCTTAAGAGTAATATGAAAATTCACTTATTAAACATATATTAATGTGAAATTAATAGAATATGAAGCAGTGGAGACGATCAAAAGATAGGATCAGACATGAACTTACAATATTTGTAGAGATACTCTTTTAATATTATTACGAGTAATAAGTTGACAGCTAAGCTTGTAAAGGTTTGCAGTTGGGGCAACCTTTTGGAATTTACGAAGCTCAGAATCCATTAGGTGGGACCCAAAATTAATTAACCTCTAATCTTCTTCGTTATTTATTATTAGGAAATCATCACACATAAACCAATTTTTTACTCGGAAAAAGTACAAATAAATTTTCTTGAATCGCTAACCTATTTACTGTTGGTTTGTTGGTCGTTGATTGTTGAACAGTAAATTCCCGCGACCTAACCTCTTCCCAAAGAATAGTGCCTAATCAAATGCTCTAAATTCCCAATTTCTATAAATACTTTTTAATTTAATTAATAGGGATTATTATATATTAAAATTAAGGATAATGATACTATGACAACATTTTAATATTATTTACATGTCATTCTTTTATTGGTCCAAAATTACTCTACAATCAATAATAATAATCATAAACATCAATATAAACTTATCACAAAATATCACGTAATGATGTTAAAATATTATCAATAGAATATTATCAAAATATCATTATTCTAAAATTAATTTATTAAGAATTTTTTGTGCGTGTATATAATATGTTCGAATTTGACCGTTATTTCGCGTTAGACTTTTTATCTTTTTGGAGTATAACATAAAATTTACCATAATTTTTTATATATTATAAAGGGTGAAAGAAAAAAAAAACTATTAAGTCTCGTATAACACGTAATGTGTAGGAGTTGATATAAGACAATATACAAAAGAATCTTAAATTAATAAAATTTAATACAGAGTATAGTTAGTGTAGCAAATTTTACATAAATATAAAACACCGACTTTATGCGACTAGTTAATTAATAACACAAAATTTTGAAATAGATGTTGTTATTTTTGTGTTCTATTTACTAAGTTTGTGTTTGTCAAATATTTATGAGAGTTTTAAATGGTATACCAAAAAATGAGATGTGGTAAGCTAACATCTTATAAGGGAGTGGGCTAAAAATCCTAATTTACCCTGTCGAGAGATAACCTTATGGACTCGTGTGTGAATTATTCCATCATAATTACTAATTAGAACTTTATGTTAGTATTAATTATTTTAGTTAAAACATTATTAAATATTTGCATCATTCAAGTAATATAATTACAAAAGTTATTTTCTTAAATTATTATTTTTATTTTGAAAAAGTAGATTGACAATTTAGTCTGTCATGCCTCATTTTTAGTCTATCAATTTGGTGGTGAGGTAGGGTAAGCCAAAGCAGATTAATAATAGGTTGAAAACTTCAACTTGATTAACCAAATTTTAGCAAATTGACAACTAGCATGCAAGTCCAAACCTGTTTTGCCACTCTTATCATAAAAGATATGAGAATTATTAAAAATGATAAAAAAATTAAACTTTGTGATATTACATTAAACTTAACTACAAATTTAAGTTTTTTCATTTCTCATGAAATATTTTTTAAGAAGTTTTTCAATCATTTAACTTTATTTCCATCTATGTTAAGAATAATAAATTTTGATTTCATTGTTAATTTTATTATAATTTTTGTTCAATTTTTCTTTGTGTAATTGTATCACCCTCCATTATGAATACATGATCATTGGTGAATTTTGTTTCATTTAAATAAATTATTTATAATATAACAAGAAACTCATTTTATTGAATGAGATAATAATACCATTTATATATTTCATAAATATCACTAAGGGTTTTTACTTACTTAAAGTCATAATAAACACATTTTTTAGGAAGTTTTTTAATATATTATTCTTTGGATAAAATATAATATGTTCATTTCTTATAACTCTAACTCTCAAAATTATACTGGTTTCTCTCATGTCATTCAATTTCTACCTGCAAACCCCTTGGAATATGAGTGAACTAAACAATATAGGACTTTTGTCTTTTAGAATATAACACAAAAATTACAACACCTAACACCATGGTCACCAGTCCCTCTACCTCTTGTGGAATTCCTTTTCTCAAAACTTGGCTTCCTGAACAATATAAATTCATGTGTGTCACCAATGACTTAGAAAACACTAGAAAGTTTCATTTGTCTAACCATGCTCCTTTGGATGCCATCTTTTGTTTCTTGAAACAACCAAACTTGGTCATGCATGTATGCTTCACAAACATTTATCATTTCTTAGATAAATAATGTTAAGAGATTATGCGAAAGTTATAACAAATGATATATGTTTTTCCGTAGTAATTTCAAAAAAGAAAGAAAATGAAAATGAAAATGAGTAAAGCAAATATAATAAATTAATGTAAAAATTAACTTCTAATATTTATATTTTTAATTTAAAAATATAATAAAATTACAGAAAATAAAAAATACAATATTAACGTAAATGTAGTTAATATGTCTTATAATAATTACAGTCTTTTTGGGATAGAGTGTCAAAATATATAATGTAAATACACACGAAAGGAATTGTACAAGAGTTATACCATCTCTTTCCTTGTTTTCATTTTTTTTATTTTACTTACTTTACCCAGAACTAGGAATTTGACCAATCAAGAATAGTGCATCAATGGTCTATTGAAACAACATTGGAAATCAAGAAATATGAAATCACAAAATAGATTAGAACACACCATGCACGATTCATTCTGCTAAAACCTATCAAAGGAGTAGTTGACGTTGCAGCTACCACAGAAAATAAATAAATAAATAAGAGAAACTGTTTTATAACTTTTATGTCTTTGGCAACTGTGTGATGTGAACTAGCCTATCAGCCAAAGGACATTCCATATGATACTACTTTAGCTTTCTGTAAACATTATGAAAATGACTATTTTAACATTATATAATGTAACAGGCTCAACTCTATCTCCAAACACATCAATCATGGTCTCTTTGTATCAAAACCACTTTTTCTTTCCTCTTTAACATCATATTGCTCATCATGCGCCACAAAAACTACATTCTTTTTCCTTTTTCCTAAGTCCATATAATCAACCTTGTCTTACATCAAGAATTTTTTCTTCCGATAAATTTGTATTTATTATTATTTCAGAACAACCACCATGATAGAATGTTGACTTGTAGCATGGTCTACGGAAGTTTCATGGAGATGAAAATAATAATTTATTCATTGCAAATATGTTAAACTTGTCACTTTCACATTTGTGTCTACTCTTTTGTCTACTCTTTTCGTGGTTATAGTTGACAACTTGACATTATCATTTAGTCACTATAGATGAACCACGAAAGGTAAGTTACAAAAAGAATGCATGTTACCGAAAGTATGAGTCAGTTCACAATCTGACTAACCACAGACCCACAACTTCCCTAATGTTTTCTACTCCAAAAATGTTATGCCCCCCCAAAAAAAAGAGAAGAAACAGGAAAAAGAAAAAGAAAATTCAACATCTGCAGAATTACTCTATTTTCACTTTTCTCATAATTGCTTGAAAGTCAGGAACAAAGAAACTACGATCAAATTGAAGCACAGAACTGCTTAGGTCTTCTTCAAGAGGTACCCCATTATTATGCCAAGGAAGCCAATTAATAAGCCAATGACATATGATACCTCCACGACTTTTGTTGCCTTCCCGCTTCAGTAGCTCCTACAAGCAGTAAAATCATGGCATTAAGTCTTTCCTTACTTCCAAAGCTAACAGTAATATATAAAGAGGATCAAATACAACAGTGACGGCACATAAAAAGGTACTTGTTTTAATTCTAATGAAATCATACTCAGCTATCCACAACAGAAACACACGGTCACAATTCTGGCAAAAATCCGGGAAGACTGTTGTTCCAACATAAATTTTAGGAAAGTAATTGATAGGAAGGGTTGCATTCTTAGCAGATCATTACAGAGGAGAGAGAAAACAGCTTTTTGAAACATCCTAAGTTGAAGTATCTTATACATGGAATTAACGGGTTAAATTATGAAACACAAACATGAATCATATCCATCACAAATGTTCAAAAAATTAAACTCAATAGCTGATGCAGAAAATCTGCGTTTATCATTTTTCCTTACACCAAAAATCAAAGAAGAGTTTGAATACAATGGATTCACCCTGTAATGGATTCAAAATGCATATATATAATAGAAAAAATTGACTGAATAAAACATCGCACATACATCACTTGAAGAAAGATTTGTTTCTCAAAACCATCTTTAAACGAGTAATCGGCATCAACATGAGTAATGTATTTCTATGTTTTTCCATATCATATGGTTTGATTGGAAGTCTAATATCAATAAAAATTGTGAATAGAGTTGAGCAAGAAAAGAAGGCTTTCCAAGTAATGAGTTTGTGAAAAAGCAAGAAATCTCTGAAAGCCTTTGTTTACTTATTGTTATTGTTAAAACCTCCAAATGAAAAATCAGACATTGAAGACAACTCTTGGCGAAATTAATATCCAATTGATATTCTCCAAGTGTAATCATAAGGTTGTTCCTTAATAACTCAATTGCATATATTTACAAAAAAAGGAAAGGCCTTTCTGATTTACCTCTGCCAATTTGTCTTGAGGAGGAGAAACATACACCACTCTCAATTTTCTCTCCTCGACCACATGCCCCGACTCCTTGTTGAACTAGCCAATCCCAACAGCACAATAAATCTTGTAATTCCAGATAACAAAAAATGTCAAATGAAATGCAAAAACAACTAGCACAACACATACCATTTCCGGAGTGATGTCCTTCCTACTAGCACCATCAACAGTTTTTACGATCTGAAGAAGAAACTTATCCTTGCATTGCATATCAGGCGGAGCCTCTTTTTGTGCTTGCATGGTAACTTCCATTTATACAAAAAAAAAAAAAAAATCCCAATTCATTACTCAGCCATAGAACACAACTAAACAAAAAGTAGCAATTCGCATTCAAAGTAATCATATCAGTACCCATAACATCACAAGTAGATCGCGGCATGACAATTCCAGTGTTCGGACGAACCCAATACTTCTTCGGATTGGTTGTTTTCACCTGAAAATCGAAACCAAAATCCAAACATAAACACGCAAATTTCACGCAGTCATCAAAGGAACACTGCAAAAACGTGCGGCTTAAATCCTACATTACGTAAAACCACGTTAATTTCACCGGCCGCGATCAAAACCGCCAGACCTCACAACAGAAGCAAAAACAAAACTCACGATCGAACAACTGTCCAAACTAATTAGGAAAACGAAAGCAAAATTGAGCGCTACCTTGAAGGCGACATAAGCATCGGTCTTATTAGACAATTGAAGAGAACATGAGATATGCTTCTTCAGTTCAACTAAAACAAGAAGAAGAAGAAAAGAAATGAGAGAAGTGTGAGGAAAACCCTAGGAGAAAAAAAGAGAGAAGGAGTCGAAGGGAAACTGACAGGGGAACTTGAGTTNGCATCCCAATTACTACATCACCCGGGTGCACGAACGCCTGTAGCTATACAGATTTCATACAGTCCGGACAGTCAGTCTAGTAATAGGCTTTGTATGATACGTATGTTGAATTTACCTTGTGTGTTTGATTATTTGAAGTGTATGATTATGCACAAATTAAATTATATAAGCTTACCTGTGTTTCCGATATCGTCTTGTTTTGTATGTCCGTCTTGTCGTTGCAATGATCATCCGTTGTGGATGTGAGCAGAAGGGGTCGAGCTGTTGGAAGATGCGCTGGAAGAAGAAAATTTGGTTGAAGTTGAAGTTAAGGCCGAACGGTAGGACGTTCGGTCAGTAGTCTAGTTTTGTAGTGAGGTGTTCGTTCGATCACCTTCTCTTTTGATTTCATTTGATCGTTCGGTATAAACTTTTGTAAACTGTTCGGTCAGTTTTGCTTGTCCTGTGCAGTTTTAGTTGTAATCTTTTTGTAAGGCCGTTCGACCAGAACTGTACGTTTTTCTAGTGTAAGACTGAACTGAAATATTATTAAATATAATTATTCTATTATATAGTTTATTGCTGTATTTTTGGGATGTTACACTTTTCCTATGACAAATTTCTTATATGTGTTTAAATAAATAAATAAGAGGACTAATTTTGGCTGAGAACGGAGACAGTAACCATTATAAAATTGAGTTCATGATACAATCATATGAACTTTCTGTTTCTCAAGGAGTTGTCCAACAAATTCAGAACTTGATATCAAATTCGATTCAGTAAACCAGATCAAATTTGCAACTAAATTCTTTTATTGCACATATAACTCAAATTTGAGATAATTAAATAAGTAGAAGAGCTTATAAACTTATAATCTTAAACTTTTGAATTGAAGTACTCTTATATAACCAAATACAAACAATTTTAGAAATTTATGGTAAGTTTCTACATTGGATAATAATATGTATACAAGAATTATAAGGTTGAAAGTGATGTCTTAATATTTAAGTAGATTTGTTCATGATTTAATATCAAATTTTCCTGTTATCTTTAGGCAAAAAACCTAACAAAAAAAAGAAGTGTTTAGGTAAGTCACTTTAAAATGACTTTAGTTTTTGAGTTCATTCACCGGTTGACTAACCTAGTTAAATGTTGACAAGTGATCTAAAGGATGAACATGATTTTCGAGTGTTTGGATGCCATGCTTAATATATAGATAAAATGGCCATTTTCTTTTTCATGTAAATCACCGAAATACTCTCCACTAAAAAAAGTAGCATATACATTTAAATTTGATGACCCAAATGAAATAGCATAAAAGCTGTTCGTTATAATAATTTAATGGGTCAAGCCTCTGTTTGTTTTGGGTCGTATATTATTTACGAGGAAGAGGAGACAAGAAGTATTGTTGTTTGTATGAGTTATGTATGAAAAAAAGAGTGAAGAGATAAATGGGGGATTAGGAGATCACCAAATTTGATCCACTCAAATGTGCTGAGAAAAACTAAGAAACACACGTGGCGTTACACGAATGATCACTTTGCCCTTTCATTGAGACACATTGCCTTGCGAATGGTGTTCATCTTGAAACTAAACAGACAACATCATTCCATACCGGACTTTTTGACCAGGTACGATTCCGTTCTACATTGCACAATGGTTATGAGGCTAAGCCATTATGCCACTTCAAAGACTTGAACACAATGGTTAAGAGTCGTTGGACACATTATTAAAATGTGATCATGTAAAATTGTTTATATTTTTGCTTTTTTCATTGGGATGTTTTCGGGGTGACATTGCTAAAGCCTACTTAGTTTGTCTGGTTTCCTTTCTTGCACTTTTATGTTGGGGTAACATTGTTAAAGCTTTAGTTACAGTTATCTCCATTGTGATCACTGTTGTTAGAGGCTACCAGATGTCTGAAGTAATAGGTGTGAGCACCCCTCCAATAAACTCTAAAATACACCTAAGTGGATGTCTTCTTATAATACTCCATGCTGAATTTGGTCGTTGCATGGAGGTTTGCAGTGATAATTGTTTAGAATATATTCATTTAGTTCGATAAATTTCATGTTGCGCATTTTTGTTTGCACATTAGTTTCTCTAGACGAGATTTTAGTGCTACTATGATCCATTTATGTGTAACAAAGAATCGTACTCAATTGCAACATAGTATAATCGATTATGATCGTAAAACACATGCTCAAAAACACACTTAATTGATTGTAAAACATAAAAGTATTATGGTTACTAAACTAAAAAGCTAAGTATTTAAAAACTCAATTTCAACACACTTCAAAACCAAATTTAGTTTTTTCAGCTCATTCAGCTGTTGACTAACCTAGTTACATCATGCTGCCACGTGCTCCTTAAGGATGAAGATGGTTTTTAAGAACATTACTGCTCCTTTTCAATTCTAATGACATGAAACCATATAATGGAATCCTTGAAGATTGATGTTATTCGTGGTTATCGTTGACAACTTGACATTATCATTTAGTCACTAGATGAACCACAAAAGGTAAGTTACAAAAAGAATGCATGTTACCGAAAGTATGAGTCAGTTCACAATCTGACTAACCACAGACCCACAACTTCCCTAATGTTTTCTACTCCCAAAATGTTATCCACCCCAAAAAAAAGAAAAGAAAAGAAAAGAAACAGGAAAAAGAAAAAGAAAATTCAACATCTGCAGAATTACTCTATTTTAACTTTTCTAATAATTGCTTGAAAGTCAGGAACAAAGAAACTACGATCAAATTGAAGCATATAACTGCTTAGGTCTTCTTCAAGAGGAACCCCATTATTATGCCAAGTAAGCCAATTAATACGACAATGACATATGATACTCCACGACTTTTGTTGCCTTCCCGCTTCAGTAGATCCTACAAGCAGTATAATCATGGCATTAAGTCTTTCCTTACTTCCAAAGCTAACAGTAATATATAAAGCAGATCAAATACAACAGTGACGGCACATAAGAAGGTACTCGCTTTAATTCTAATGAAATCGTACTCAGCTATCCACAACAGAAACACACGGCCACAATTCTGGCCAAAATCCTGGAAGACTGTTGTTCCAACATAAATTTTAGGAAAGTAATTGATAGGAAGGGTTGCATTCTTAGCAGATCATTACAGAGGAGAGAGAAAACAGCTTTTTGAAACATCCTAAGTTGAAGTATCTTATATATAGAATTAATGGGTTAAGTTATGAAACACAAACATCGATCATATCCATCACAAATGTTCAAAAAACTAAACTCACTAGCTGATGCAGAAAATCTGCGTTTATCATTTTTCCTTACACCAAAATCAAAACTCACAAACTGGATCACAGAACATCTGTTTTCAGTTACCTTTAGTTCAAGCAGGGTTTTGAAATAGTTAGAATATATGATGATATTTCAGAGACAAGACAATAAAAAACGTATGAAAGGAAACTTCCAGAATCAGAAGCAGTATCATTCTCATCATTTAAGATTAAAGTCCTCCATAATCAAAAGAAAAATAAATATAGATTACACAGGAGTAAATTTAATTATCTACCCCAATGTTGTAAATCCTCACCAGTTCCTGGCGAAGCTTGCTATTTTGTTCAATTGCATTATTCTTTTCTTCAGTCAGTCTTGAGATAAGAGCTCTAGCCTGTAAACAAACAACTATAATAAAAATAAAGTTGTCTAACAGTACCAACTCTAGAAGTTACAAGCTGGGCTGAATTTACAGTATATGAACAAAGAAGAGTTTGAATACAACAATGGATTCACCCTGTAAAGGATTCAAAATGCATATATATAATAGAAAAATTTGACTGAATAAAACATCAGACATACATCACTTGAAGAAAGTTTTGTTTCTCAAAACCATCTTTAAACGAGTAATCGGCATCAACATGAGTAATGTATTTCTATGTTTTCCCATATCATATGGTTTGCTTGGAAGTCTAATATCAATAAAAATTGTGAATAGAGTTGAGCAAGAAAAGAAGGCTTTCCAAGTAATGCGTTTGTGAAAGAGCAAGAAATCTCTGAAAGCCTTTGTTTACTTATTGTTATTGTTAAAACCTCCAAATGAAAAATCAGACATTGAAGACAACTCTTGGCGAAATTAATATCCAATTGATATTCTCCAAGTGAGATCATAAGGTTGTTCCTTAATAACTCAATTGCATATATTTACAAAAAAAGGAAAGGCCTTTCTGATTTACCTCTGCCAATTTGTCTTGAGCCTCAGGTCGCTCTGTAAACCCTCTCGCTACCTGAAAAACACAATAAGAAAAGGCATTCCAATTGATATTCAAGGAAATTTAGGGAAAAAGAAAACAGAATAAATCAAGAACCCACTTGTGTGAAGTCAGAACCGTTGGAATTTCCATTCTCTGAAACAGAACCTCTAGGTGAGGATCCTTCCTCAGAACCTTCTGGTACTGGAGACGGTGGTTGAGGAGGAGAAACATACACCACTCTCAATTTGCTCTCCTCGACCACATGCCCCGACTCCTTGTTGAACTAGCCAATCGCAACAGCACAATAAATCTTGTAATTCCAGATAACAAAAAATGTCAAATGAAAATGCAAAAACAACTAGCACAACACATACCATTTCCGGAGTGATGTCCTTCGGACTAGCACCATCAACAGTTTTTACGCTCTGAAGAAGAAACTTATCCTTGCATTGCATATCAGGCGGAGCCTCTTTTTGTGCTTGCATGGTAACTTCCATTTATACAAATAAAAAATCCCAATTCATTACTCAGCCATAGAACACAACTAAACAAAAAGTAGCAATTCGCATTCAAAGTAATCATATCAGTACCCATAACATCACAAGTAGATCGCGGCATGACAATTCCAGTGTTCGGACGAACACAATACTTCTTCGGATTGGTTGTTTTCACCTGAAAATCGAAACCAAAATCCAAACATAAACACGCAAATTTCACGCAGTCATCAAAGGAACACTGCAAAAACGTGCGGCTTAAATCCTACATTACGTAAAACCACGTTAATTTCACCGGCCGCGATCAAAACCGCCAGACCTCACAACAGAAGCAAAAACAAAACTCACGATCGAACAACTGTCCAAACTAATTAGGAAAACGAAAGCTAAATTGAGCGCTACCTTGAAGGCGACATAAGCATCGGTCTTATTAGACAATTGAAGAGAACATGAGATATGCTTCTTCAGTTCAACTAAAACAAGAAGAAGAAGAAAAGAAATGAGAGAAGTGTGAGGAAAACCCTAGGAGAAAAAAAGAGAGAAGGAGTCGAAGGGAAACTGACAGGGGAACTTGAGTTTGAGAGGTTCGATGTTGAGGAGCTTCCCACTGCTCATGTTGGAGAAGATCGACGGAGTCCGGACGCAGAGAAATTCGAATTCCGATCACACACACAGGGATGTCAGTCTTGACTCAATCCTTTTAGTTATTTGTTAATAAATATTATCCCGTAAAAATAGATGTTCTGTTTCATAAAATTAGTTACTTTCAGTTATGCATACATTTAAGAATCTGGAGAAGACGTGTCATGTTATCAACTATGCCATGTTACAGAGAAAAATAAAAATAAAAACCAAAGGAAGGAACTACACAAGGTATTACTAAAATTACGTCGATTACTATCACATGACCAAATGCAATAACAGATCTATCAATTGTGTTCGTTCGATGTATTAAAAGGATATTGAATTCGATAATCAAACTAAAACAATTTGAGTGCAAAGCTTTCTATAATATGATCAAAATCAATTCAAAAGCAGTGAGTGACATTCTGAAGTTCCAACTCTTTGGAACTTCCTCAACCTTTTTAGTAAGACATGCTTGCTTCTAACAAAAAAAATGGCTTCTGGAATTAAGAGAAGAAGTTAAGGGTAAAAGTGTCTTATCATTTAGTAATATTGGGGTGCAAAAAGAACCGGCCTCAAATTTGCTTTTCACACAATGGGTGTTGCTTCCTACACCTCACTTATAAAATATGGAATTCCCGGATTTGAAAATACATTCTAAAATACTTATTCCAGAAGGTATAAAATAATATATTTCGAAATGAATATTTTAAAAAGTATTTTTGGATCTGAAAATGTTTTTTGAAACATTTGTTCTTGAATTTTTTTACATTTTTTTATATATATAACCAAAACATTTTTTTGTCCATGATTATGTTTCTCTAAATTTTCTTCTCTTTCAATTCTTCTCCAAAAAAAGTACCCTTATCAGAATGAAAAGTAGTTTAGATTTTAAGAAAAAGTTTGGAGGTAAAAAGAAAATTTGGAAGTGCAAGAAAAAATTCTAACACTAATATACCATAGACACAAATATAAACCCAAAATCTTAAACTGTTTGAACCAAATACAAAGCCCTTTATACTACTATTTACAAATGTTTACACATTAACAAAGAATTTCCATCAAACTAATATATCAATCTTGAAATATTTTAAATCATACTTAGATTAATAAGAAATATTTTGCCACTACCCAAAAGTGAACTCGATGTAATGAAATTCCTATCATAATCACAAATTGTAAAAGAGGAAAGAGGCGTAGTGAGCACGGAAACAGCTTTTGACACAAACAAAAGTCACACACAAGGTTGAAAATCTTACCTAAGCTGTGAATAGGTATGATGATGAACTTGAAATTTATTACCCAAATATTAAAAAACAAAAAGATATATCCATAACGGATGATATTGTTACAATATTAATATTAATAATAAACTAATACCAACATGAAAAAGAAAAGGCGTATCTAATTTTTTTTTCTTTTCAAAAACATGGGTAGTATTAGAAGATATGGATAAAGATTGCATATTCATTTTGTGCATGGAATATATTATGCAATATTAATTAGCTGCGGAAGATGGATGATAATTTGGTATTATCCATCTAAACCGATATTAATGATTAAGATGGTAGGGATGCATTGCTACCAACTTTATACTAAGCATACCATAACAGCCTGGAATTTGGCATCATGGGGCAAGTCCAAAATCACCTTTCGGTGGGACTAAGCGACATCAATAAAGCACCAGGAGGTTGCGTACCTGTGTATTAAATTTGTATAATTTTATACTAACTATTTCTAAAATCATATTAAAAATTAGTCATAATATGCCAAATTTACAGTAGATAATTATTTGAAGAAAACTCAGTGATAAGAGAGGGGAAAAAAATCTAAATTGGATTGTGTAATTTGCTTGAGTTATGATTTGATTCTCATTATTATAACTATTGAAAATATACATTATGTGTTCAGATTTTTTAATGGTAATAAAAAATATAATAAAATTATTAATATTATCAATTTTATTATTATGTTATAAATTAATTTCTTTTTGTAATTTTATAGTAAAATAGTTTTTATTTATTTTGTAGGTAATTTTATAATAAAATTAAAAAAAAGGGTTAAATTTAAAGAAATAATTACTTAAAAAGTAAAATTGTTAAAATAATTAATTTAATAAAAAGAATATTTAAAAGATAAAATTAGAAAATAAATATGAAATAATCTCGAATATTGTATTTTTTTTCTTCCGGTGAATATTTAAGTTTGAAAATCTATGTGCCCTCTTAAATAAGTTATTAAGCTACCGAACCTAATACATAGTCATGTGTCAACATATTCTATAATTAAGAATGATAATTAAGAAATCTGAACAAAAGTATTATTATTTGGAATTGCATTTCCGCAATGGAACCTAATAGAAGTCTGATCTGTGGATGGGTGTTGTGGGGCGGTGAGCATTTTGATTACGATGGGAAGACATTAGCAGAGAGAGCAGAAAAGGCTCTGAATTTGAAGACGCAAAGTTGAAGAGAAGTGTTGTAAAATTCAGAATAGGCTATGATAGGTTTTCAGAGTGGTCCCTCTTTTATTTGTTGCTGCTAACGCGACAACAAAGTGCTTCTTCTCAGGACTACCACCGTATCTCAAGTTGGTGTCCATGCACCTCTCACCACAAACACACAACCCAAACTCAGGCCCTTAGGCCCATACGATCCTCCTCCCTGGGTATTAGGCCCATCTCGTAACCCCGTTTCTTCAACAATTCAAAGCGTGTATCCCACAGTTTCTCTGCGGAGGTGATTGGCGAAGTGTCTAGAAAGAAGCACACGTGTGGGGCAATGGGGACAACAGAGCTAGCTGTATCCAGACTTCAAACACCACGAGTCAGCGCCTCGTCACCTTATCGGAACTTCAACTTTTTAACCCTCTTTCACGCAATCACTGCTACGTCAAAATACTTCACCACTGTACCTTTATTAAATTTTTAAAACAACGTTATCGATTCTGGATATTATTAACACTTTTAATGGTTTATTTTTATTATATTTATATATCACGTCACCAAATATGTATTTTACTATTATGTCTCGTTCTGTTGCGTAATAATTTTTTTATGTGCACGTGATCCACATTTGTCAAGGACTTCCCCTGACGTAGATTCGAAGATGAGGAAAAGACCTGAAGTTCAGTTCATAATAAATAGTGTTCCAAATTATGGACATGGAAGTGGAAAGTGTCGTCATTCTAAAAAAGCTCACTCAACCTCTTTTTTCCCATTGCTTCATAATCATTAATACATTGCCAATGCAACACGATTCGTCTGGTTAATTACTGTGTTACCAATCACCTCTCGCAATTTTCCTGCTTCTAGTCAATTTCTCGACCAAATAAATTTTATTTTTTTCTATGCCATGAAGAACTAAACATATCAAATTTCCTTTACTACTTACATCTTCCTATCATATTGACTCCTTCGTTTATAACTGGTTTCTTTGTCCCCTTAGGATTGTATTCATGAGTTCATGTTTGATTGTTTAACGTTGTTGTATGCATCATCAACGTAGTCAGCATCAAGTTCGTGAAGAAGTTTGATGGCACGATAGACAACATCAAGTCCGTGACAATGGTTCTTCTTTGACGAGAAAGTCAGCCACACCTTTGGGGCAGGCTACCCGCATGGAGTACACTAAGATTCGTCGTCGTTAGTTTCACTTTTCCTCGTCGAAAATCGAACTTATAATAAAAATTATTGTGAATGACAATTCGAAGGAAGAGAACCTAGTTATGGTAAGAATAAATCAAAGCCATGCAGCACAATTTCATGATGATTCCAAGATACACTTATTCAACTTCGTGTTACCTCCTCCATTAATTTATCCACATACACAACAATTTCTTTTTTACTTATTTATTTTTCCATATCATACATATACATTATTTAAAGATTAAAAACACAATAAAATATAATACTTTACCAATGATAAATATAAATAAAAAAAACTTAAGAGGAGTTCATTTAACGTAAGTTGTTTGCAGCTCCAAACTCCATAATCTACATGTGGAACATCATATATCACACATTAATTAGATTAATGAAATGGAAAAAAATCCGTGATGGACAAGAATCTTCTGTATTGGCGTGTCGAGACTCAAAGCAGCAATGGTCCCAACTTCAAAGGGATGGCCAAAACTGAATTGAAATAAATTTACGAAACAATAATTCCTTGGATCATCTATTTGCCTCTTTTCTCACAGCTGGAATTTTGGACAGCTTCCTCCATCCCATGACATCACTGTTCATCAGCAACTCCAACACATATTACCATTCTAATAATTAAACAAGTACATAAATTCCAGGCCTCAATAAATAAATATTATTCTGAATCATTTACGTTACTTACAATTTTTACAATACCATTCCACAACTATCCAGAGTTTTGAAAGAAACAGTGTATAGCTTTCCTATTAAGTAGACACACAGCGCATGACCCAAAAGCCCGCCCTATTTCAATTTACAGAAAGGCCCGACCCGTGGCAGGAACAGGGAGGGAATCCAGTGTGTGTGGAGTGCAGCATGCGCTAGTTCTTGTCCCGATTCAGTCTATCCCAGAGCGACGCGCAATGCCTCTTGGCGAATCCCACGCGCTTCTCTACCAGGTCATACACAACCTCAAATCCTTGCTGCTGGTAATTCCCGAGTGTGGCCCCCGGCCCACCGCTCAGCTCACGCTCATCTCCACCGTTCATCAACATCAAACACCCCACCCTCTTCTTCCCCTTTTTCTCATCGCTGCCGTCCAAAAACTCGTAAAAATAATTCTTCCTAGGCAGCACCACACTGGAATTCCCTCCAGCAAAACGCAGCGTCATAACAGGAACTTCCGCCACCGCGTTCAAATAATAGCACGGCGCTAGTCCTGTTTTTTCCTCAATCTTATGTGTGCGCTGGTTGACTCGCTCGACTCGGCGGTCAAACTCGTCAACAATCGAGTTGTAAAACGTCTCCGGCAACATCGTGAACGTTGTGCCGGAATCCACAACAACTCCACCGTCTCCTCGATGGTTCACCCGCCGCAGCATCTCCGGCGCGGGAATATTCTTTTTCCCTACAGAGATTCCGATTAAGCTAACGATATAAAAATAAGGATGCTTAGGGTTTTCAAGCATAGGCGTGTACACAAACTCAACCATTTCACCGCCATTGATCTTCTCCTTTTCCTTCTCCTCGTAACGACCGAGAATGAGCGGACTCGATTTTCGAACTCGCTCAGAGTCAAACGAGTGAGAAACAAGGCAGTACGAAAAGCGGTTTCCGAGTTGAGGAGACAGAGTGGCTAGCTGCGCCGGGAGAGAGAGCAAACCGCGGCCAAATCCGGCGACTCCGGTAGGTTCAGCGAGAGCTGTATGAGCGCAACCGAAGGTGAAGTTTCTAAGAGACAGAGAAGAGAGAGAGAGGGAGTCACGATACAGACGCGCGACTAAGCTTCCGTCGCCATAAGCGTAGTAAAACAGGGGACACTTGAAACTGGCACAGTCGGAGGTTTCAATCGATTCCAGAGGGCAACGAGCCATTGCGCAGAGATCGGAAGAGGGGGCTAAGTTGTGCGCTGCGGAACATGCGAGAGACTTGCACGAAACGGCGACGCTTCGAGTGATGTTGGCTGGCGGAGAGGCGTTGGGTTCGTTGGGCTTTCCCTCGCAGAGAATGCATTCGAAAGGGGCGCAGGGGAACCATACCAAGTCACTGCCTGTGTCCATGTAGAGGGTTATGGGCTGGGCCTGGCGGCCCAGGTTGAAGGAGAGGGTGTAGTCACTGCCAGGTGAGAGGGGGAGGGAGAGTTGGCGGCGGAAGCGGGCGGTGGAACGGGTGGAGGTGGATTTCAAGAGGTGGTGAGTGGTGTTGAATTGAGCATGGGAAAGAGTGTGTGTAAGTGGCAAGAGTAGCATTTGGAAGGAGGGATGTGAAAGACATAGTACGATGAACAAAACCAAGAACAACAACATAGTGGAAGTCATCTGTTAATGTGCATGAACGAAAACAGAGTAATGAGTTGTTTTTGAATTTGTTGTGTTAGTAGGAAGAGTGAAGTTTTAAGAGAGGGAGGGTTTATAAAGGGGATGAAGAGTGACAGCGATGCAATGGATTTGGTGGACTGTGGTGGCGGGCTCACTTAGGACTACTCTTATGTGAACTTATCTTTTTTAACAATGCATAACTTCCTTACATTTTCAAAATGCATCTCAAATATACTCTTCAATCTCTTTCTTTTTGTCCCACCAACAAATATATCGTTTTGTTTTTTTCCCTGTACGGATGCTACACTCTTAACAATTTTAAAAGACTAAAAGTACAAGTTTATATTTGCAAAATGACTTTTTTAATAATATAAATTTTTTACTCTAATTTAATAATTCTTACTTTGTAACCCGCTAACTCTTTGTTGGTTTTGGTTAAAATCATAATTATTTTATTAAACACTTGTTGGGCCTCCTTAAACGGGATTTCGTTTTATTTTTAATGTTTGAATATAATCATGACTTGGCTTTTTCTCAGAGTTCGCCTTCAAACGAGGGATAAGATCAGAAGATGATCCAAGTGTCTGCGTTTATTTTTAATTCTTTTAAGAGGTACTTTTTTCATTTTCATGTTTTGAAATTAAGATTACTCATAGTACTGAACTTGAAATTTTTATATATTGAAACCAATTCAGAATAGAAAGGAAAAAAAATATTGTTTAGCGTATTGCATAATCCTATAATTTTTTAATTCGGGAATGCATAAAATTACGAAAAAAAATTATAAAATCATAAACTAATATTTAATCTTCTTTCTGTTCTTATAAATTCTTTTACATTTTTAAGTCTCCGTCGTTCTTCTGGGTGAGTTGTTTCATAATTTTCAAAAATCTTAGTCTAAAAACATATTAAAAATATAAAAAGTAAGCCGAATTTTTTTTACATCAACAACTGTTTATTGTTATTTTACATTGGTTTAACGAAACTTAAATTAAATGAAAAGTAAACAAAAATCCATCTTATTTCAAACTTTATTTACAAGAGAAATTATAAAATTTGTAATATTTAAAACACACTTAATCTATTATATATTTAACTTAGTATTGTATTATATTTTTATTTAAAATTTTAATAGTTTCAGTTTTATATTTATGTTACGACTCTAAGTTATTGTAAATGAGGTATCTATTATGTGCTTCGGAATAAAAGAAAGCATTACTTAAAATATGAAATGAAATAGGAGCTTTAATTATGAGATACAGAGCTCAATGAAATATGAGTTTAATTATATATAGGATTTACACTACTTTCTGCCAAAATATCTTAAGGTAAGGAGTCTTTTACTTTTATATATTATTCTACTTTTTCATTTCTATCCAACATGGGACTTAGACTCACACTTGGATTCCAAGGGTACAAAAGCATTCCCACATCAAAAACATTCTCAACCAATCATAACGCGAGTAACTCTTTCTAACCGTCGTTCATCTTAACGGGACTTGCTTACCTTAATACCTTTGTTATGATGACTTTCGATATAAAGATCATTATACTCATCTCAATCGGCCACCAAGACAAATCATGGGCTCTGATACCATTGTTGGTCTATAGAGGAGGAGGTTCACTGGAAAAACACAAACACCAATAAAATATAAGTTCAAGCATATAAGAAATTGACACTACTTTTTATCCAACACATTTAAGACAACCTTTATATAATGCTCTACTCTTTCTCATTTCTATTCAATGTGGAACTTACTTAGATTTCTAACAATACACTCCAACTCTTACAACTTTTATCCATATTCTTTTTTTTACACCGAGATATTTTTACAATTTGAAAATTATTTTAGTTATATATTGGATTTATCAAATTAAGAACATACTGAAAATTTTGAAATAACCATCATCTAAGTGTTATTATTATTATTTTTTTTCTCTAAACATCCATCACATAATTAAATATTTATATATATTATATAATATCTAATATATATCATATATATATATATATAATTTATCAAATATTTTCAAAATATTACTATTCGGATCAAAATATATATATATATATATATTATATATATATATAATATTATATATAATATATTCAAAGAAAAAATATTATATGAGCTAGCATATACACAATTATTATAGTTGAAAAATATCCAAAACAAAACAAATAAGATAAACCAGATTTCTTTTATAAACAATTTCAACCATTCATATATTTAAACATCCATTTAATATAATGGATATTATTCTAGATTCAACTCGTTCATTTAATCATTGCAACAAAAGAATAAAATGTCAAGTATTTTAAGTTTAACCAACTATCTCTCATGCATATATACTAATATTACATCAACACAGATACTTAATTCTATTTTTAGAAAGTTCATGTGTTAGATTAAATTGAAAATTACTATAATGTCATATTACCTTCTGTTTCGTGTGTTTCGGATAGGCATTGAGATCCGTAACCAAAGCATTAAAGTTATCTGTATTCGCTCTCCATTGTACTATCTTTTGTATCATTATTCTCTTCTTTCTTGAGTAACTTGGCTTAATAATGTTTAATCAATCATAGTCTCTCATAATTAGTTACCTGACCATATGTTAAACATATATTTAAAATGAGCTTATAAACTTTTATTATTCCATTAACTTTTTCATTATTGATTATCCTTTGATTACCTTAATGGCTATCTTTATCAGATCGGTTACTGAGTTGTTAATTGGTTGTCTCGTTCCGGTCCATTGGCCTAACGGGTATACATAAGTACATTCACTCATAATATAATTATGTTTAAAAGAACTAAGTTTCTCAATAATAGATAAATTCATTACAGCTTATTAGACATATCTTTTTTTTTTCGTATAGGAAACTAGATCATAAAAACCTACATTCAGTACTTGATTTTCATTTATATAATTTTAATAGTAATAAGTCAAAATCATCTGATTTATAATCCTAAACTAAATACGTTATCTATGATCTTTTAACATAATTTTTTCTCATTGAAAGTAATTATGCTCACATCGTAACAGATATATTAGATACAAAATCAAAACATCACACATTGCTATTTGTTATTATTACTAATAAAGTCAGCAATATGAGTAAACGTATGAGATTAATTGCAACGGAAAAACAAAGTAAAAGTCATATTGGTCGGTTGACTCAACCTAATAGATGGAACACCAATCCTATAAAGTGGCATGTACTGTCTGGTTCTGTATAAACTTATTATTCTATAATGTTTCAATGAGTTGCAGGGTTGCAAGGAAAGATAGTTAAAAACAAGATTGGCCATGCACCTAACATTATTGACAATGTCAAAGCCTACTATCAGTCTCATGAACCAATTCTCATGTAGGCCGATCCAATTCATCCACTCATTTCTGTGTTTCTAATAATAACTCATTCAAACTTAAACTGTGTGGGCCAAATCCTTTTTGTATTATTGCTTTCGTTCATGTCTTAACATTCAAAACTAAGAGAAACTCTATTTGTATACCACTTTCATACAACAAATCAAGAGATGAATAAGTTAAGATGATGTGACAAAAAATAGAAAGAAAATTATTCATCAATAATTAAATGTTGTTAGGATAAAAATAAGATGTTTTAACGACTAAACTTCATTATTATGGATACCATCTATGTTCATGATTATTATGTTAGACCAACCCCGAAAATCCAATTCACCAAATCAGTTCCAAGTTCTCTATGCCATACACAAATTAAATTGTGTGGACCAAATCCCTTTCTGTGTTCACAAATTCATCTTTTGTTTGCATGTAACTACAACAACATCATCGAATATAAAGATTATGGGTTACGTTCTCATACTTAGTGATTTAAATGTATTTTTCCTTCTATCGTGAAATTTGACAGCTGCAGTGCTTTTTTTATTACATTATTGCTCTCTTTCGTGTGAAACCATGAACTATAATGTTTATTAATACCTTCTTTACTATGAATCCAAAAACTGTTATGGCGTTCTATAATTCGAACATTTTTTGTGTGGGGATGCTCGTGAGATTTTGGTGGTAAAGGTTTGTTTGATTTTCATTCCACAGCAAAATTGTTGGAGAGGTTTGACACACACAAGATCTCCACACTGGTAGATATTGTCTGCTTTGAGCCAAGTCTTCACGGATTTGCTTTTGGTACCACTTCAAAAAAAGTCTTACCAAAGAAGTCTTACCAATGGAAGTAACTACGAGTAGCCCTTTCCAATCGTCATATCTTAACGGAACTTGCTTACCTGAATACCCTTTGCAAGAAAGATTTTCGGTATAGGGATCATTACAAGGGATCGACACCACTCTTTACCCAAAACCTTAAGGCAATGGGTTAATGAGTCTTTCATCTTTATATACTGCTCTACTTTCTCAATTCTATCTAACGTGGGACTTGTACTCACACTTGAATACCGAACAAAAATACCTAAGTACATGTTCTCTCAAAAAAAAAAAGCAGAAGCATTGAACAGGGGACCAAAACCTAAGCCCACCAATACCCTCTAAGGAGACTTCGTACCCATTATCAAATTCATTCATTGTCCTAAAATCAACTCTCCTAATTCTCACCTTATGCTTTGCTTTTACAAACCCTTAAAAAGCCTATGAAAAGAGAAATTTCAGAGTCAGATTTATTGTGATATGAAATCGTCTTTCCACCCCACCACCTATATAAATGAGCATTCATATCAACAATCTTCTCCGTAGAAAAAAACAAGTTGACATGTAACTTGCAATCCAAAACCTGGGACGTTTTCAGACTTCTGGTTTACATACACCGTATCTTGTTGCTTACAAAAACACATTTACTTGGCAATCTAGACAACCCTCTAAGAATAATCAATAATTTGTCCTCTAAAATTGGCTAAAGAAGAGAAAGTAATTCAGATTTGTGTGCTTTTACTGTCACAACCTTATAAATTCTATCGATTGCTTCTGCAGTCCCACAAATCAACATCTGCTAGAAATATTATCCAGTACTTTTTCTTTTTTCTGTCTTTTTCCCAAGTGCCAAAGATTTCATTCACTGCATTGTGTATGAAGTTTTTCTACCAGCTGGGATTATGCTATGTAAAATAATTCTGAACGCAATTATTGTATTTTATACCAGAAAGGGAACTGCTATATGTCATATAATAGAGGCAAGAAAACTACCAAGTTAGCGTCATAGTGACCGGTGCAATGTTGGACATCCCATTATCCCGGGTTTTTGTTATTTTCATTCATT